CTATCTTTGATCTTATTCATATTACAATTTCTTGAATCAATGTCTCATCCCTGGCAAATAATACGATATCATCAACATACAGTAATAAGAATGCTTTATTAGTTAGACTATATACACAGTTACATCTAAATAGCTTATTAAATCCTAATGACTTTAAAATGTGTTCCAATTCACCATCCCACTCTCTACCCCCCCCCCCCCTCCGTGTAATCCAGAATTTGCTCTTTGTAAAGGACATACTTTGCTTCCCCTTCCTCTTACCCCGGATCCTTTCGATTGTCTCATATATATTCATCCTTTTAAAATTTCTATACAAATATGCTGACTTTGCGCCTAATTGTGTGGGACACCAGGATAATGTGGAAACCAACAAAACAAAGAAAAACCCAAGAAAAGTAAAACTACAACTGGTGAAATACCCCTGTGCAGCCAATCCTATATCTCTGGTTAAAACCCTGAGATACCAATCTAGCCGTGTATCTTTTGGCATTATCTTTGGTATCAGCTTTTAATGTGTAGACCCATCTATTTCCGATTTCTCTCTGATTCGATGGTAAATCAGTTAACGTCCATACTTCTCTACCTTCCATTATCTTCATCTCATTTTCCATGGCCTGGTCCTACCGTTCTCTCTCAGGGTGTCCTTGAACTTCGTCAAAATTCTCTGATAACCTCACCGAATACACCTCATCCTGAAATATGTAACCTAATAGATCATCTTGAACCGCCCATTTGCTCAAATGAACTTCCTTCTTTTCTCCTTCTTCTTCGTTGCGATCATCAGCTCCTGCTCAAATGAAAAATTGTCTGGGGTCGAACTTTATTTTATTCTGTTATACAATATTTTTCCACTCCATCCAATGAACTTAATCATGAACTACTCCCGGGTGGACAATAATATACATCGATTATTCCTTCCCTCGCTCATTCCTTCCTTCCCCTTCAACTCTTCCCCACTCAGAAATACCAACGTACCTCAATCCTTCATTTGACACCTCCTCTTGCTTCTCTTTCTTAAATCTCGTCGTCTCTCTTCCTCTGCATGTGCATCATCGTCCCATACCAACTCTTCCCCAACAGCAATAACATCACAACTCTTACTTAATCCTCTATCCCCAAATAACATCTCGACTTCATTCTTGTTTTTCGTCAACTCTTACATATGCTGTCTCTACTATGTTCCTGGTATTGGGTAACCATACTATATATCCCTCGGCTCTTAATGCGTATCCCACTATAATTCCAAGATCTGCTCTTGCCTATAGTTCATCTCCTTCCTCTCCCGGCACATGAACGTACGCCAATGAACTAATAATCCGCAGACGGCCTACCGATGATTGGTATCTCCATCATCTCTCACCTGGTGCAACATCGTTTAATAATTCGCGCACGTACCTGCTCTCTAAGTGAACAAAACCATGCAATGCCTCAGCCCAGAAAGTTTCTTCTAACTCACTGTCTTGCAATATGGCTCTTACACCCTCCATCGCTGTCCTGCTAAATCTCTCTGCAACCCCATTCTGATCTGGCGTATACGTGAATGACCCATCTGCTTTTATTTCTTCCTGTCTCAAAATGCATTGAATACTGACCTATAAACTGTTTAAAACATACGAAAACATCAGACTTACTCTTCATGGTATGTATAAATACTAGGAGTGTGCAAGCACGACTTGAGTATCGGGCCCCGCCCGATAAGACTCGAGCTGCTCGACTGCCTCGCCCGGCTCGTAACTCGTAACTCGTTCGGACGAGTTCGTAAAAGATCGTAGTTCGGATGAGTTGCTGCCGATACTCGATGAATGTAGTTAAGGCGATTGAGTTGTTGCGTAAAGTGTAAAGTTATTAGGGTGAATAAAAAGTTCTTTCATTTTTTAAGTTGTTTCAGATTATGCAATATTTTGAAGTCGTTTCAATTACTTTGTATGTAAGTGTTATATATCATTTTGTAGCTTTTGAAAATCTCTTTCATATTTAATTATTAGTAACATAAATTTATTGATGGTTTAATTTTTTTTTGTTTTAGTAAAATAATTGAAAATTTTGAGATTCGAGTACTTTTACGTCACTACAGAAACCAAGAGTTTAAAACTACTGAAGCAGCAAAGAAAATAAATATTATATTTTGCAGGTTAAATAAGAATATTTAGTGTGGTATAAAAACAAAGAAATACAACGATATGATAAGTTTACATTACAGCCTTACATACCACCTATTTATCATGAATACTTCACTATGTTACCTGTAAAGGAGAAATAAGTTGAATATTTATTTTCTTTGTATTTTTACTTAGCTTAAGGAATAAATTTACATTTTACACTTGTTTATTCATATCATATTATTTCGTATAATTTAAACATTAACATTATTATATCATAAACATGGTTATTCATATATTTACATGTCTTTATTTTAATTATTAGTTTTCGCATTAAAAATTTATTTCAGTGAAGCTAATGTCTATAAAAATATGGACCTAAATTTCCTTTTGTTTTTATTTTGTATAATATGTTATTTTTTAAAGTTGCATAGAGGAAGAAGAAAAGAGAAGAAAAAAGAAACAAGAGAGAAAAAAAAGATAAGCGAACAAGGTACAAAACAAGAAAAGAAGAAATAAAAGCTAATAAAAGGAAACTAGAAGAATAACAAAGAAAAGAGAAGAAAAGAAGAATAAGTGAAGAAAAGAAAATAGAGAAAAAACAAACAAACCAACACAACACACAGCAAGCAAACTAAGAAGAATAAAATAAACGCAAGAAACAACAATCCGATATACAAACGAACGATCAAACCGACTAAAACATACCCATATAAAACCCCAAACAACATGACAATCAAAGTCATACAAATAAACCTGCAACACAGCAAGGGGGCGACAGCCACCCTAGTTGAAATAATGAGAAGAAAAGAACAGACATAGCCCTAATCCAAGAACCCTGGGTGTGCTACAATGCACCCAGAGGTCTTGGATTAGCGGGGAAAAGACATACACCAACAAACGATGGCAAAATGAGAACATGCATTCTCACACGAAAGGGACTCGAGCCACTCTGATCCCACATTTAAGTGACAAGGACAACACTGTAGTGGCCTTCGAATGTTAGAATCCAAGTCCAAGCCCAAGCCCAACGAACAATGATAACCACGAAAACTACAGATGGCTCGCCATATCAACATACCTACCATGGAATGCCAATGAATCACCCCCAGCTGACAAACATAGAGGAATTCTCACATGGTGCATCGAAAAGAATATCGTAATTGGAGCTGATGTAAACACAAGACACGTTAGATGGGGCAGCACCGACATCAACACCAGGGGAAATAGAATGGTGGAATTTCTAGACGAATTCGGCCTAATATGCCACAACAGAGGCAATAGCCCGACATTCGTAACAAGAATAAGAGAAGAAGTATTAGATGCAACCTATAGCACTCAAGAAATGTCTCATAGGATAAAAAACTGGAGAGTGCTAGATAAAAACAGCCTCCCCGACCATAGAAATATATCCTTCGAGATAGAAGAGCCAATAACAAGAGCACTAATCAGCAGAAGAAACCCAAGAAAAACCAGATGGGTTGAATTCCTGGAAGAGATCGACACAAAAATCAACAACCTCCCATCGAGATACGGCAGCAATAGCATAGAGCTAAACACTGCAGCCGAAGCCCTAACCAAAACAATTGCTGAAGCATGAGAGAACAGCACCGAAGAAAAAGAGTGCAAAACAAAAATCGACATACCTTGGTGGAGCGAAGAAACAAACAAAAGCTCATCAAGAATCTCACCACAATAGCAAGAAGAAATAAACCTGACCCAAGCAAATGGGCTAGGGTAAAAGAAGCTAAGAAAACCGTAACAACCAACATACTGAAACCCAAAAGAAATAGCTGGAAGAAATACTGCGTCAGCTTCAACTCTGCAAAAGAAACAGCAAGACTTTACAAATTACTAGAAACAAAACCTCATGAAGCACTAGGCACCCTAAAGAATGCTGAAGGGACATACACGAACAATGATCAAGAAATTATAAAAACTCTTATGAACACCCACTTCCCAGGATTCCAAGAAATAACAATAAACGAAGATACAACAGAAGAAGAAAATGCCTCCAACACAACGCATAACCAACCAGCTGACTGGAATACGGCCAACAAAATCATAAACCAAGAGAAACTGAAATGGACGGTAAAATCATTCCAACCAAACAAAGCACCGGGCCCTGATGGAATGTACCCGAAAACACTTAAGATGACAACAACGAATGAGAAAGCTAGAAACTACATGCTAAAAATCATCAGAACAAGGCTAGCTCTGGGTATAATACCAAAACAGCTGGCAAGGCACGAAAGTAGTCTTCCTTCCGAAACCTGGTAAAGACGACTACACAGCGGCAAAAGCCTTCAGACCAATCTGCCTAATGTCTACAACGCTCAAACTAACCGAGAGACTAGTAGATAGACACATAAAAAGTACAAACCTAACAACGAAACCCCTACATAAATCTCAAAACGCCTTTAGAGCCGGCCACTCGGTAGAAGTGGCCCTACACAAAATAGTTAACTTTATGGAAACAGCCATAAACAAAAAAGAAATAGTAGTGGCATGTTTCATCGACATAGAAGGCGCTTTTAACTGTACACCAACGGATGTAATGATACAAGCCCTCCACGAATTCGGCGTAGAAGCATGTTTGATAAGATGCGTCAGATACATGCTAGAAAATCGCAAATTAATAAGTAGCAGAGGCGAAACTACAATCCAAGACACCGTCCAAAAAGGCTGCCCACATGGAGGAACATTATTACCACTTTTATGGTGTATGGCAGTGGACAGTCTCCTATACGCCCTCGAAGACAACAATGTCAAGGTAATGGCCTATGCAGACGACGTAGTATTCATAGCAGAAGGGAAGAACATAACCCAAATCAGAACCAGAATTCAAGATGCACTAATAGCCCTAGAGGAAAATAAAGAGACCAAATCTAGGCACATTAGAATTCACCAACAAAAAACTAAAAACCACTAGGAAAGTGAAGTACCTGGGAGTAACAATAAACGAGAAACTGACATGGAGAGAACATGTCTTTTTAAAAGTAGCAGCTGCAAAAAAGAATCTCAACCTCCTATGCCGAATACTAAGCCCAACATGAGGCATGATTCCCACAACAACCAAATGGATCTATGAAGCGATCATAGTAGCGAGAATAACATTCGGAAACATTGTTTGGTGGCAAACATCTAACATGATTACAGCCACCACGAAACTAGATAGCATACAAGGTACAGCTTTAAGACGGTACACTAAAAACCACACTAACAAGGGCATTAGAGGTAGTAACCAACTGTTCCTCTCTAGAAGTTAAAATAAAAGAACTAGCAATGAAGACAGCCATGAGATTACACAGCAGGGGCCAGTGGGAAGATACTGGTAGAGGCCACAGCCAGATAATCCAACCAAACGGCAACGAAACGATTAAAGACATGTATATGATGCCAAAAGATAGACTAATCACAGAATACATATTTGAGAAAAGATACGAAACCAAAATCGATTCCAGAGAAGCATGGAACACTACCACGTTACACCAAAACAATGATATAATATGGTATACAGACGGCTCTAGAAAAGAGAACCTTTCCGGTGCAAGCTGGTACTGCGGGAAAGGCCTATCGAACGAAGGCTTCAAACAGCTTGGGAAATATGCAACAGTATACCAGGCTGAAGTCATAGCCATATCTGAGTGTACGCAAGAAATGCTCAACCTGAACATAAACTGCAAAAGAATCACAATATGCACAGATAGTCAAGCGGCAATCAAAGCACTCAACAAAGCTGAAAACACATCAAGAATAACCAAAGAATGCAAAATAAGATTGAATACACTTGCCAAAAATAACAGAATAATAATACAATGGGTGCCGGGACATAACGGTATAACAGGCAACGAAAAAGCAGACAGACTGGCCAACAGGGGTCAGACGAACCTCCGATAGGGCCAGAACCGATCATCCCACTACCAGAAACGTTATACACAATGGAAATAGAGAAACTAAGAAACCCTATAAAAAAGAGAAAATGGGAATAGACACAAGGGTCCGAACAAGCTAAAACTCTGCTCGGCACCGAAACAAACAATAAGAAGAGAATCAAACAAATTCTCAACTTGAAGAAAGAGGACGCGAGAAACGTGGTGAGCATCCTAACAGGACACGCTCCCTTAAAAGCACACTTGAATAAGATGGGCAAATGCCCAGACGACCTATGAAACCAATGCGGAGAAGCCCCAGAGACAACGACACACATCTTATGCAAATGCCCAAGACTAGTGATGAAAAGAAGCAGATACTTTAAACAGTTTATCATAGACCCTAACGATGTGAAAACACTAGATCCAAAAAAGATAGCAGCATTCCTCGCCGACATCAATCCATGGAGATTAGAAGATGTTAACGCAAAAGAATGAAAGGGGAAACATGGAGATACAAAAATATCGGAAAACGGGACTCCACGGCAAACACCCAATAAACGGGAAACCAACGGAGTCCTGCCGAGGCAGAGGATCACAGAGGGGAGCGAGGCTGAGGCTCCCTTCTCCCCTTTCACAACAACCAAAACGCAACCGCAGTCTAACAAGAAACGAAATAAGTAAGCGAAGGAACGATGGGAAGAACCCAGGAAGGATCACCGACTGGTGTTAAAACCAATAGGTGGACCGAAGGGCCCATCCCATCGTTCAAACCCAAAACGAGGAAATATAGTACAAAGTAAGACAGCACACAAAATGTAAGGAGCAAGGGACGCGCACTGTCAAATAAATCTCACAGAAGGGTGAGCCCAAGATGTGATCGCCGACAGGCCACTAAGCCAGAAAGCAACAATCACATGGGCCTCCCGAAGCAGCGTCCTCGTCAGACTCCGCTGAATCACCAGGACAAGGATACTGAATAAGAGATATAGCACGGCGGCAGAAATGTTGGCGTGGCCACAGATAAGAAGAATTCCACCATCGTAGGAAAAGGAGTCACGGGACCACATAGATGGATCCACCGACTCCATGGAAGGGCTTGTGTCCCTGGCCTCAGAACAAGGTATCAGCAAGGCAGGCACCAGACGGAATGAGAGGCATCTCGCAGAAAATCGCACACAAACGACACTCCACAGATCTTCTACTCCGCTGGGTGTAGAACAAAAGGACACAGCAGGGGAAAGAGTAGAGCACGGGACAGGCCATTGTATCATACCAAGAGCTGAGAGCGGGAATATCCAGTACTTTACTCACCGTAGGCCACCATACCTACGGCTGACGACGTCCGAGTTCCCTCACTCGCGTCCCGGTCAGACTTCTCATCATAGTAAACGAAATATACTAGTAACAGGAAGTACGCAAGGCAGAGAGATGCGCCGACTGCGCCTCGGCGAATCCACCGTAACCGAACACAATAACCATCTCCTAGAAAAGGGTTCGCGCACCTCCCCACAGAACGGGAGGAGTTCGGCCTAGGACGGGTGGTGACCGTCCGACCAAACTACACCATCGTAGGAAAAGGGGTCACGGAACCACACAGATGGATCCACAGACCCTGTGGAAGGGTCCAATGGGAAAAGGGGGGAACCCAAGTTGGTCCCCCTTGAGCGGGTGGTGACCGCGAGCTACGTAAGAAATTCGCCATGTCTTCGGGGTTAAGACATGGGGAACAAAATAATCCAGCCTAACACGAATATGTTAGGCCCGCCAAGTAGGAAAGAGTGGCAACGAGGACGGGTTGGCAGGCCTGACGGCTGGGGCCTTTCCACGAAAGTCGCGTCCGACCTTCAGACACGCTGTGGGGACCCTTCACCTGAACACTTCTCCCTGCCGCACTTAAAACAAAAAAGGAATCTAGAAGTAGGACTAAGTACGACAAAAGAGGATAGGTAGAATCATGTATAAGCCGGTCCCCTGGCACGGATGAACGATGGCGAGCCTTCATTCGGATCAGGGCCCGAGAGGGACAGTTAGAGAAGAGGGGGGGGGGGTGGATTTTGGCAAACCGCGTCTAGGTAGCCAGACCCTGCAAAGGAGGTGGGTAAGGGCAAGAGGGACGGGGGGAGTGTTAGGACTAAAAGGGTAGGAGATACGGAGCACTCCGACTGAGAACGAGGATCGAATAACGACCTCAGGTGTATCATGGTAGAGGGTGGACAGGACTCTCAACTTTGATACATGGTGTAAAGGGGCGAACATGCAGGCTGGTACTGCAGGTTCTGACGGATGTGGATTGCCCGATGCTCAACTCCTCTTCGCCATTTCCGTTAATAGGTAGAATGGCCCCGCCAAATGATGGACCACCCCCAGCGGAGTAGCGCCCATCCTCGAAAGGATAGGCCCGGGTCCAAGAGAAAACGAGGATCGCCCGAAACGCGGGGTCGAGACAGGAAGCTGAGGTAATGAGTTCCCGCCTGGTCTGAAGCTCCTCGCTTAAGCCAGGTGTGACTGTGGACACGGTCAAAGTGCCATTCGCCCGAAAGAAAGCCGGGGAGCACACCGGTGCCCCCCCCTCCCCCCCGGTTAGTAATGCGAAACTAGGCGAAACTAAGATCGCGATCGGCGCGCGATATGAACGCTGATTCGCCAACAGTATTCAAATGGTCAATGAGGTCCGAAAAGAATGCCAAACCATTGAACCAATTGCTATCATCTAATTCTGGAATCGGTTTGCCTGCCGTTTCCATAAACATTTTTACTTCGGTCTTTAGTCTAAAAAATCTGTCAAGAGCTCTTCCTCGACTAAGCCATCGTACTTCAGTGAAATATGGCAGCTCGCCATAGTCACATTCTAATTCTTGAAGGACATTTTTAAACTGCACGCGCTTTAGCCCGTGATTGCGGATGAAATTGATAGTGCTAACTACTACTGACATTACAGATTCAAATTTAACCGTTTTTGCGCATAAATTTTGTTTATGCACGCTACAATGAATGGCAATATCAGTATAAGGTGTTGTTAAAGAATTTAATTTTTTGTTTAACCGGCCTATAAAACAATATTTCGACCTACCATTGATGGTGCTCCATCAGTTGCAACTGAAATCAGACTATGCCAATCTAATTCACAACGGTCGACTGCCTCTTCCACGCAAGACATAATATCCTCTCCTTTTGTCCCGCTTCTATCACAAAAATAAAAATTTCATTACTAATGTAAATGTATTCCTTTTAATTAAAAAAAAATTAAAATTGAACATAAACATTAATAAATTCACAACGAAATTAACAAATTTGACAAAAAATTAATAAATCAATTATAAAGAATAACAAATGCAGTAAACTTAAATAAAAAATCAATTAGTACAAAAAAATTAGTATTGCGAAGAATGGTAACAAAAGCATTACAAATTTTATAAAATATGTTTCACTATCTGACTCGGTATTTATTTGCGTGTAATCCGAATCCCTTGATTCTCATGATCTTTCTTGCACATCTCTTATTAAATGATCCTCAATTTCAGTAGAATCACGAAATTGTTTTCTGGTAAAACTTGTTCGTTGTGATGCAATCAGCGGATCGGACATCAGCAGAAGGGTTTTAAATAAATCAGTGTTCGAGTCTTGTCTATTTCTTTTTCTTGTGTGATTTAATCGATGCCTCCGAATTTCTTTATGTGTGGCTTTATATGTGGCTTCTAAAACTTGCTCAAAAGATATCCAATTGGTAAATCGAAATAATTAATAATGTCTGTGACGCGAATAATAGCCGCGACCCTCTCCTCTCGCGCTCGCGCCCCGCCACGTTTGATCCTTATTCCCCCCAAATATAATGTCACCGACCGCCGCTAGGCCGGGACCAAGCGTCACTGTAGAGCGCGGCGCTCTCTCACAACCAAAGGTGGGGAGCGTCGCGCATAAGTACTGAGACCGCGACGCTCCAAAGGCAGAACGCCTGAACGAGCAGTACTGTACGTACCGAGCCATAATACACAGATTTGCCGTTCAAACGCTCTCGTTCATTTTGTTGTATTCCCGGCATATCTACCGCCAACGGAGCCCGTTCATAGAGAACGACCACGAGATCCCTCTAAGAACGCGGTCAACTCCGTCTATTTCCTCGTCCCCTCTCAGAGGCTTCCGGTCTCGAGGCGTGGGACAACCTTGGTCGCCGAAAGACGTGTGTGCACTGACAGCCGTTTTCGGGCCTCCACGGCAACTCGCCCGGGAAGAAGAGGTGTGCTCGCGCTGCTGACTCGACACCCCTGGGGCACCTCCCTCTAGCATCCGCTTCCCGCAGTCCGACTACCCGTCGAATTCTTGTGCAAGGGTTCGTACACCCTTAGACTCGCTATTTAGAAGCGTGCGACTACCGATACCGTTTCCCTTTGCGGCGAGGGCTCGGCCCTAACTACTACTACTACCCCCTTATTGTACTCAGCGAACCCCGGCGACCGGCTGAGCCGGCGCAACCCTTCGCAACGGTTCATCCGCTACCGAACCACGTTATCGTGACATGTCACAACCATGATGTAAAACCTTATACACGTTTATAGGCATATAATATCAACTGTATTTGTTTAGGTACAATTCTAGGGTTTCGCTTAAAAGTACAATATATTAACATATTTTAACGGAGCTAGATAATACCCTTAAAATTATTTGAAATTTGTATATTAAATTTATATTTATTTCTGTAATATTAGAAGCAATGTCGTAATTCTTAAAAAATCTCCTCGCTGTATTGCTGTCGTTGCTGGTACCATATACAGGTTTCGGCTTCTCTATTATAAGGCCGAGACGAGATTTAAATTGTTTCTGGATCCTCTGCTCATTATTTTTAAATAATTTCTTGTGTTCTTCTTCTCTTACTTGCCATTTTTGAAATGGTAGTCTGTAGGCGATGTGAATAAGGCATTCAAAGAACCTAATCCACAGGTGCAGTGTAAAGATACCAAACCGATAATGTTCAAGTTTTAGACACTTTTTCTGTAGTTTTGAACAAATTTATTTCCTTTGGAGTCGCTCCGCAAATATAACACTTAGAGGTACTATTTGTGTTACATAAAATGTTACTAACACTGCCATCTAACACAGTGAAATGCAATTGAAGATTCACTGTCACATTCTACTTGCCTAAATTAAACACATATGGAGAGAGAATGTCAAGGGCCGCATTTATCGAAGCTTCATGCTCCCTAATTGGAAAAGGATTTTTTGTCATAAATAAGAACTTAATCAGTCGATAAAAATGCATTAAGGATGGCCGAGGTAATATTTAACAAACATTGTAAATTTATCTCTGAGGATATATCAGTTACAGATATTGGCGGTAAAAATAATTTGTTCATCTCTCTAAACTCTCTAACATTTGGAAAGCATTTCTAATGCACTCTATTTACAAAAGAACAAAGAGTAATTAATATATTTCCTTTTCGACAGATTCAGGTCTAAGTATAATGCAATTATTTCGTGCGGCAATAAGATGAAATGTGAATCAGTTCCGAGTAATGATCCTGATAATCTTGCAGCAAAGTCAAGTTCTTCTGATGATCGTGTACAGATTAAGTCTTGAACCCGACGTTTTTTGGTTTTCAACGAGGCATCTGCAAACGGCATTAGAGGCCTTCCACGAGTTGGGCCCGGTTGTGGTTCGTTAGAAGTTGGTTGATGTTCGCGAACGGGTGTTCGATTCGGGGACTGTACGAATGCCAGAGATCTCAATTTTTGTTAACAATAACAATTTATTTTCGTCTATTCTTACATAAAATTACTGTACAATGAGAGAGTAAGGACAGTACTTGTTGACGGTTTACTGGTGTAGAAGTGTTGTCTGAAACAGTGCGATGATGCATTGGCGCTGTTAATCTGTGGATTCAGCCCGCCTGTTGAGTGGTTGAACCAGGTGTGATGCAAACGTGTACTCTGCACTCAGGTTCTTCTTGTGCTGTCTAACGGTCACTCCCGCACTCCGATACGTTGACTTTAGTGAGAATTGATACGCATTGTACTTTGAGGTGGCTGTGATAACTCGAGACGACTTGACTACGTTGGTGATGAAACCAGAATGGCGGCTCCACACATGTGGCGTGAGCGCGCGTTCCGAAAAGGGCCGATATTCTTCACACTGTACAAGAGCGCCCTCTGTCGGTCGATGTACAAATCGAAACGGCGCTGGCAGCCTTAGGGCGCCTCTTTCATCTGGGCCGATTCGCAAATAGTTGGTCTTGTATTAAAATGTCTGCAGGTATATTAACTTTACTGCAGCACCGTGCAGGATAGCGTAGGAAAAGGTACTTCTTTGTCCTTGAACAGTATTTCCATTACTTAACGCTAAGTGATAAACTTCACAAATCTCTTGAAGTTTTTTTATCAATATTTGCGAAACTCTTATTAATATTTAAACGCCCCTTTAGTTCAATTAAAAAGTTCGATATTTTTTCTGATTTATTGCTTTGTTCGAGCAAACTTGCCCTTTTTTGGGTGGAGTTTGGATTCGATTAAACGCGCGAAAGCAGAGCTGCCGATATGCTCCCGAAGCTTTGTTCGCGTACGCGAGAATGTTCACAGAATAAAAATCAAAGTTCTCACACCACAAAAGTATATATCTACACCGCTTATTAATTATTTTTATTTACATATATACACACAAAAGCCGAATAGTAGAAAATAGAAAGGTAGAGTTTTCGCTTCCGAAGTGCCCCGGTTCGAAGCAGTGAAAAGCGGAGAAAAAGACCGAAGCCGCGTGGTTCGATTGAAAGATTGGATAAAACGTAAAGCGAACGTACTGCGCGTTAGCGCGGCTTACAACAAACTGATTAGCCGGACGCTCGCACGGAGATTCCCGATTCTTGGAATCGTCTGGAAATTCGTTCAGCGTCGCCCGCCTCTCCCCCCAGCTCCTTCGGCCAACGGAGTGACGTAGAGCAACAGCTACAGAGAGAGACGGAGCGAACGCCGAACGTTGTCGTCTAAAAAAA